CAGTTAGGATCCAAAGGGCTACCTCTAAACCAGTTAGGATCCAAAGGACTTCCACTAAACCAGTTAGGATCCAAAGGACTATCTCTAAACCAGTTAGGATCCAAAGGACTACCTCTAAACCAGTTAGGTTCCAAAGGACTACCTCTAAACCACTTAGGATCCAAATGACTACCTCTAAACCACTTAGGATCCAAAGAACTACCTTTAAACCACTTAGGATCCAAATAACTAACTCTAAACCACTTAGGATCCAAATAACTACCTCTAAACCACTTAGGATCCAAAGAGCTACCTCTAAACCACTTAGGATCCAAAGAGCTACCTCTAAACCAGTTGGGATCTAAAGAACTACCTCTAAACCAGTTGGGATCTAAAGAACTACCTCTAAACCAGTTAGGATCCAAATAACTGATCAAGACTAAGGAGCTATGGCTAGACCAGTTAGGACTAAAGGACATTGTCTTCCATCAATAACGATCATCCTGATGTTTTGTGTTCTCAGAACCGTCCAGCGAGGTCGGACTGTTTAACGTTCTTGCTGACCCTCCGGGTCCAGAGGAGGAAGAGGAAGATGAAGAGGAGGAAGAGGATGAGGAGCAACGAGCCCGGAGAGAGGTGTTTGAGTTTGAGCTGTCTGACCGACCACTGCTGCCCTGCTACAACATCCAGGTGTCTCTGTCCCAGAGGTGAGTTCAGAATACTGTCCACCAGGGGGCGACTCCTCTGGTTGTATAGAAGTCTATGAGAAAATGACTCTCTTGATTTATTACCTCAGTAAACATTGTAAACATGAGTTTATGGTCTCAATCTCTAGTTTCAAGTCTTCTTCAATACAGCATGATGTTCATTTAGTACATTATGGTCCATTTAGAGTCACACAGACCATAAAGCAGGGGATGCTTTAGGGCGGGGCTACACAGTGATTAACAGGTCTCTACCAGAGACGTACAGTCGGGGCCATAAGTATTTGGACTGTGACACAATTTTTCTAATTTTGCCTCTTTACACAACTCCAATGGATTTCAAACTAATCAGTCAACATGTGGATGAAGTGAAGACTTTCAGCTTTATTTCAATGTCTAAAACTAAAAATCACAATAACCGTTTAGGAATTACAGCCACTTCTACACAGTCATCACATGTTCAGAGGCTCAAAAGTAATTCGACAAACTAACATAATTGTGAATATAATCATTATTTTCAATACTTGGAGGAAAATCCTTTGCAGTCAATGATTGCCTGAAGTCTGGCACCATAAACATCACTAAACACTGAGTTTCCTCGCTTGAGATGCTTTGACAGACCTTTCACTGCAGCCTCCTTCAGCTGCTGATGTTTGTGGGTCTTTCTGCCTTCAGTTTTATCTTCAGTGAGTGAAAAGCTGCTCACTTGGGTTGAGATCAGGTCACTGACTTGGCCATTGAAGAATATTCCATTCCTTTGCCTTGAGAAGCTCTTGTGTTGCGTTCACAGTATGTTTTAGGTCGTTATTCATCTACACTGTGAGGCGCCGTCCAATCAGTTTTGCAGCATTAGGCTGAATCTGAGCAGATAGTTTAAACACCTCAGAACTCATCCTGCTGCTTCTATCAGCTGTGACATCACCAATGAACACCAGTTCCATTGGCAGCCACACATGTTTATGTCATACTGCCTCCACCATGTTAGACAGATGATGTGGAATGCTTTGGATCATGAGCCGTTCCTTTCCTTCTCCACACTCTTGTTCTCCATCATTCTGGTACAAGTTCATCTTGGTTTCATCTCTCCAAAGAATCTGTTTCCAAAACTGGTCAGTCTTTGTCAGATGTTTTCTGTTAAAGTCTAATTGGTCTTCCTGTTCTTCAGGGTTACCAGAGGTTTGCACCTTGTTGTGAACCCTCTGTATCTAGATTCATGATGCTCTTGATTGTAGACTTTAACAATGACACGCCTACACCTCCAGTCTTCTTGACTTCAGTAGATGTTATGAAGGGTTTTTCTTCACCAAGGTACACCAATTTTTTTAACCTAATAATGGCCTCCTTCACTTGCATCCAAGGACCAGCTACCAACTGCAAATATAGTCTTCAACCACATGTTGACTGATTAGTTTCAAATCCATTGGGGTTGTGTAAATAAGCAAAATTAGAAAACTTGTGTCACAGTCCAAATACTTATGGCCCTGACTGTATATACGCCGTCTCTACGTCACTCCTCCTCAATCCTAATATGGTCACTTCCTGTTCACTGGTTGGAAGAAAACCAAGATGGCGACGCCCAAAAAGTTGAACTGGAGGCTTCAAAACGTCCACAAACCAAAGAGAGCCGTCACCACGACGACGTCCACTTCTGTGGTTGTATACCGTTTCTTAAGGTGGTCTGACCTTTTTAAGGTGGACCAGCTATTCTCTTTAACGTGACAAAAGTTTTTTATTTTAGTTGTTTCTTTGAACTCCTTTTGGTTCTGGACCACATGAACACCACTCCAGCTGTGAAATCAGCTTTGTTATAACAACTTATTATCTAATTAAAATAACACACACATGCGCACACACACACACACACACACACAGACTCACACACAAGGGCACACCAATTAAGGTGGTATAAAGGGACGGAGGGAAAAAGATCCTCCGGGAGAGAGAGAGATAAAGACGGGGACAGACGGAGAGGTCGTCAACGAGGATTGCATCGCCGTGGCGACGCGGCTAATTGGCTTCCACTTCGTCTCTCCCCCTCCTCCCCCTCGTGTCTGATGTCGTATTAATGGGTCCTCCCGGGTACGAGGCCACCGGGCTCCGACACACTCTCTCGCGCTTTTCATTCGCTTGTTTAACATTCCAACAGCAACGTGTGTGTGTGTGTGTGTGTGTGTGTGTGTGTGTGTGTGTGTGTGTGTGTGTGTGTGTGTGTGTGTTAAGCTTCATTTGCCCTTGACACACACACACACACACACGTTGTGAATCAATAGCAGCCCCTCAGCTGCAGCCGGAGACATAAAAGAGAAGCCGCCTCTCCGTCTTCCCTCTCTTGACATTTATGGGAAAACAAATTCAGCTTTAATTCAACGTTTCGTTTGTAATCGAACACAAATGCAATTTATAAAACTCTGGCATTTAGTTTGAAATTCTTCTCTGTAAAAACGCTCTTTCTCCGTCTCCTCCTCCAGACCCAGGAACTGGCTCCTCCTCTCCGACGTCCTGGGTCGTCTCCGGATGACGTCTCGGTCTTTCCGGCGTCTCTTCCCTCAGCTCAACGTTCGGTCTGTCGGCGAGGACGAGTTCTACCGGCAGGCCCGCCAGTCGCAGCTCCTCACGGGTCCGGACGAGCGGGAGCTGGCCTCCTTCAGACCAGACGTCAGGGACCCCCTGGAGCTGGTCGAGGCCACTCCGGAGCTCGCCGGCATGCTCGGCTCTTCTCTAGAGTTTGTGCACAGTCGTTGGGACTCGCTGGAGGCGTCTCCGCCTCCGACGCCGCCGGCGGGGCAACGTTTCCCACCGTTATTACCGCCAGAAGCCAGATCTGCAGAGTCTGGACTGAGTATTAAGAATCTGGGATGTTCGGAAACCAACATGAACGCTAGGATGTGGGAACATCCAGGAAGTAGAAACACTGCTGTTCCTCTTCCTGCAAAGCCAAACGTGATAGCGACTGCTAGCATGTGGGAGCCGCAAAGACAGCAAAGTAAGAACATTTGGATCCCAAATTCTGCTAATTCGGACTCTAAGATGGACTCTAGGGAACAACAACAAGGAGCAAAGTCCGAGGCGGCGGTTTGTGCGAACACGTGGGTACCACAGCGACTAAGAAGCAGGAGCTCGGACACCAAAGTGGACCCACAGAACCCTGCTAATCCTGCAACCGGTGCCGCAGATGCTAACGCATGGAAGCGACCGAACCAAGGGCGACCGACCAGCGGGGTTTCGGACTCTACGAACCGAGGCACTTTGGTCGATGCCCATGTTTGTGAGACGCAACGTCTACGAAGTAAAACCGCTGGGATCACGAGCCCTGTTAGCGTCCCGGCTACGGACGCTAATGCGTGGGAACGCCAGGGAGTAAAGAGGGCGGGGGGCACCACCACCACCAGCAGCACTGACGCCCACGGAGGCAAGACCGTAAAGATGGATGCCGCCTGGCAGAGGAACCTGGGCAACCTCAGAGTCCACATCAGGGACCTGGGGTTGAAAGTTGGGGGGGAACCATCCAGAGAGACACAAAGAAAGACCCGGGGAAGGCTGCCGGGAAGGGGGTCCGGGTCAAATCCAGGTCATGACGGTGTAACCAGGGGAGTCCAGAAACCAGTTCAGTAAACACCGTGACGGTGTCGTGTGCTACGTGTAAACTGTGAATATGCATCCAGATGTCACTGTTGTTAAAATGAGTTCTTTGTAAATGGAGTCTGGTGTAAATACGACGTTTGTTACCTTTTGTTTGTCATTTTGTATTCAGGTCACCGAACTATTTATTGTCCAATAAATGTAAAGAACACGTCGTCTGGACTCAAGCTCATTATGCAGATTATCTAGCATGGACAAGGACGTCGTGTTTGGTAGCATGACATATATGTATATATATGTATATGTGTATATATGTGTATATATATGTATATATGTGTATATATGTGTATATATGTATATATATGTATATATATGTGTATATATGTATATATGTATATATGTATGTATATATATGTGTATATATACATATATATATGTATGTGTATATATATATATATGTATATGTGTATATATATATGTATATATGTATATATGTATATATATATATATATGTGTATATGTATGTATATATGTATATGTGTATATGTATATATATATGTATATATGTATATATATATATGTGTATATGTATGTATGTATATGTATATATGTATGTATGTATATGTATATATGTATGTATGTATATGTATGTATGTATATATATGTATGTATGTATATATATGTATGTATATGTATGTATGTATATGTATGTATGTATATGTGTATATATATATATATATATATRTRTATATGTGTATATATATATATATATGTATGTATATATATATATATGTATGTATATATGTATGTATATGTGTATGTATGTATATGTGTATATGTATGTATATATATATATATATGTATGTATGTGTGTATGTGTGTGTGTATATATGTATGTATGTGTGTATGTATATGTGTATATATGTATGTGTGTATGTAT